AATATCACTTTTAAGATGAGCCTAAATTGCTTTTCATCTTCGCAAATCGATTTCCCGGATGTGCTGACGCGTTATGACAAGTTATGAAGTTATGACAAATTTGGCGGGAATATTTCTGTGCTGTTATTTCGCTCTTCAGTGGATTTTTTCTTTGTGATTTATTGTTCTAATAGTATCAATATGTAATATAAATGTTTAAGGAAAAAATTTCGATTTTTCAACAAATACTTGGCGCTTTGTTTCCTTTTCGAGCGGATTATGGGTTTCCTGTGGTGGTACACGGAATCCAGGACGGAAGGACGGAAGGAAACGTGCGTACGCGCGGGAACACTGTGTCGGTCCATGGAAAATCGACTCGATGGTATATCATTTTTTCTTAGCTATGGTGCTCCGCTCCGAGAGCTCCGCTATCATAATTCTAGTGCGCTGATTGGTCGAATTTGACGCTTCAATGAGCGATATTCACCTATAGGTGAATATTGGATTTTTTCGCAATATAACGTCGTCCGCGAGTCGTTGGATTAAACAATTGGATTAAAAAAAATGGATTAAAACTTGTTATAGGTAAGTTTTGTTTATTTAAAAATAATATATATAATAATATAATAATATAATAATATAATATATATAATAATGTTTTATCTATCGTTTTACGTCAAACAGGCTGAAATTTGTAGGTTTTCGCCTGGTTTGTTTACATTTTACTCGATACATTTTTTTGACAGAATGGTTTCAACAACAGTCTGAATTTACTGTCAGCTTTGAAGACTTGGATACAAGTGRATTAAACAAGTGTCTATCAAAGTTTTACGTGCCCATAAGGAAGAAAAATAGCAATTATTACAAGAAGACGACTTTGCTGTCAATCCGAGCGGCCCTCGAATCGCCATCTTCAATCCCCGCCACATAACATTTTACGAGAAAATGCAGTAGTTCTTTTTTCTCTATTTTTATGAATATTCACYTATGAAATTATAATAAAACAATTATTCGCCTCAGGCTCAGTGGGGCGAGCCGCTCGGTAAATATTCATTGATAATCACTTCGTCTTCGGCGAATAATTGTTAATTAGATCGATATATTACCTTAGATTCTTGCCTAAAATGATTTATTAGGCCAGTAAAGAAAGAAATTGTGACGAACAAGCTCAATAAATGCATTAAACAAATTACATTTATATCAAGGCGCGACGAACTGTCGCCAACTGACTATGAACAGACTATCTTGTACGTTTCTGTTTTGACTTTCTATAATGCAATTCAAGTTYAAACGTACGCCAAATTTGAATCTTCTGAGCACTAAGATTCACAAATCCCGGAAAATAAATCCTTTACTATTTAGCTGGTATAGTCCAAATTGCTGTCTTCTAAGAGCAATGCATACCACCCGAAGTTCAATGAAAATCTTGCTAACAAAAGTTCATTTGCACAATGCTCTCTCGTGTTTTCCTCAGTTAGAATATCTAAAAATCATGATATGRCATGACCCAACCCCACAATAACGATGGACGTACTCATTGCGCCGGGTACCCTTTAGCTTGGAGTTCTTGGATTTTTCGCTAGCATGGAGAAGGCCCCTGACTCAAACGCAGCCATACAGCGCACCGTGACTAAAACCTAACGCCAAATTAATGTAAACACTCGGAAAAAAACGATACCAGGAAGCTTAGAAGTAAAATATCAGATGAGCAACACTTGACAGAACTAGAACTAATGTGTAAAGTCCGACAATGAGGACTGGACGGGGTTTCAAGTCCGCGCAATTAGTTCCAGTCCGAGGCGTTAGCCTCATACTCATTAAATATTCGGGAGGGGAAAAAAGTGAAGGAARTACATATAACAGAAATATATTGATTTATTGCATCTCCACCAATTTTTTCAGTTTCATAATTTTGAATAAAGAAGCACCGTTTGTTGWTTTCCAATTCCAGAACGGCTTTCAGAAACAAAAGCTTTTCAAATTGTCTTTGCTTGCTATTCATGGCATTCCTAATGAGCCTAATTTATAAGTTTTATAAGTATATATATCTCCCAAGGAATCGCATCAGAAACTCGGTGGTGTAGTGGTATAAGACGGCGCATATACACTGGACGGTTCGGGATGATCGTTTCGTGAGGTAGTCATTTATCAAAGACCTTTTTTCATTAAATTAATTCTATATTAAATTGATTATTTCTAATACTTTGATTATAATTAGCTAGTCGTAGTTTGAAACAAGGTAGAARTAACTGGAAATAAGGTAGAAGTAACTGGAAATAAGATAGAATACAAGTTAGGAGTACTTCCTCTGGTATCCATTTACTGCACGTGGTACAAATTACAATCAGGGATTGGCTGGATACCCCATGAATAATTAATGAGTATGAGAATGGATGTTGAACGACACGTAAATCGATTTATTGCTATATTGGACAATATCGTCCCTCTACGTACTTAGCAAGTGTTTATTAATACAAAAGCGTTTAGTTTAAGTTATTCGAGCATGTGCCTGGGATAAAACTTATATACAGAGCTTGCCGAACAGCACATGATATAAAATCAGAAATCTGAAGAGATATTGTTGTTTTCAATYCAAGCACTATATGCTGGGAATCCTTAAAAACCCGCGAGACGACCACCAAACAYTAATAAGAAAAAAAAAGACACCAAGACGTAAAAAAAGAGGATTTCCAGACTTTGTCGAGAAATTGTGAGCAATTATGACTATTTATTGACTTTTCAATAATGACTTTTGCTTCCTATTCATTAATGSGATGACACCTGCAGACGCAAACAATTGAAACGATAGAATACCTATTAAACAGTAGAATTTAAGTCAAACTTGCACTAAACGGTATAATATCAGTGATAATGGTTGGRACGAGCAATAAACTAGTAGGAGCTGCGTCGGTCATGTTTCTTAAGAGACACTGGTGTTAAAATTACATCGACGAAGGATTGACATCCGACGCGAAACGTCAGAGTTATTTCACCGACTTTTTACTGTGTTAAAATATAGAGTACAAACACTAAAACTGTGCAACATAAATAGCACTAAATGCTGCTAAATTATGCTTATTCTATTGTTTTCTATTGTTTAATTAACACTATTTTGTAGTAAATAGTGCAAAGTGCTGCACACATTTAGTGTTTGTACTCTACCTTATTGTACAACTGATATGAAGACAGTATTTTAGTTTTGGTAAGCAGTGACTGAAGAAAATCAATTTTTGAATGCTTTATTTCATAAAAGGAAACTGTACACTTTTCGTCTCTAAATTCCACGTGATTTCTAGACGAATAAAAGAAATATGAACGCCTTTCGTATAAAGACTCCACCCCTACCCGCTGAAATCAATTAACACCTATGGAGAAACTGCATCTATATTCAAGGTTCAATTATAGGGGTGGCGAATGGTACCTAGAAATAACTGGTTCTCGGTAATTTTTGGTGGAATCTCGAGGTCTCGCACTGCCAAAAAAAGGATCTCGGAATCTCATGTTTCCGGAAAAGTTTTTGGCCTCGGATCTCGAAATTTCTATAACAAGATCTCGGATTTTGAACTGCCGTCATGTTCTCGAGAGCGTTGATTTATAAGAATTTTTCAATGCATAATTGTTCTAAATAAATGTTTTTTTTTTCGTGTTAATTCGATAAACAAGAACATAAAAACATTAATCTCGCTTCTCGGAATTTGGAAATTTTTAAAATCTCGATCTCGGATTTTAAAACAGCGATCTCGGCGTCTCGACTGATTTTGGTTTTTACCATTCGCCACCCCTAATTGTGAATATATTCAACGTTTGACAAGCCCCAAAAGCGGGTGGTAGAAAATATATATTTTCTTGAAGGAAACGAGTCAATTCCTGCTCAATCTTTAAATTTTAAAAGCTTGTGTTAAAAATGTCAGAGAGTAGAGTATTAATTTTCTTTTTCCTTTTTTTTTTGCGACGTTTAATCTTCATAGCGTCTCAGATTTTCTCAGTTCATGTGGTCTGGGTTTTTTTTTGCCCCTAAAGGCCATCTTAGAATTCACGGGTGGTGATGTCCTAGACAAGTTTTAAAAAAAGTAGTAGATCTGCCGCCATATAATCCCTTGCCGTGCATTTGTAGACTGAATAATAATAGCTTTCCTGAGAAAAGAATGGCTCAAAACTCACAGCACTATGACGTCGCRTTCTTACAAAACTCTATATGGACACTAGATAGTGTTGACACATGACAATTGACTAAATAGCAATGTCTTTTTAGGTCGACATAACCTTTTTAAGATCGGCAGTATATGCCTCAATCTTCGCTTTTTAACTCCTGGCGTCTTCAATGTCACTTGTTTTATCATTTATAAACCCTGACTATACAATGTAGTCGTATCGCTGGATTGATTTTTTTAACAATGCAAATCAATTAACAGAAGCTTTATTAGTTTCTTGGTCAACCTTTTCATAAGGATGTTTTAGCTGTAAGACCTATCACGGTGTATACATAGATACACGTTGCTTTTAAGACACACACACATGCACGGAAGGCACTAGCTTCGTATGTGTACATGTATTCTATCATTTATTAGCATTTTGTGACTGACTTTTAGGCTTAGTGTATAATGAAACCCCAGTTAAGCTCCGTTTCCACATGGCCTCTTTCCCAGAAATTCCCCAGGCTTGTTTACACTAGTGTAAAATCTTTCTTAATGTACATCAAACATTCATAAGGCGGGTGATCTTTTTTTCGAGGCAGGTTTTAACTTGTATTTACTCTCACCCTAGAGGCTGGTTTGGGTCCCATTGTTTAATAACCGAATTACAATGGTATTTATGCCTATTGCCCAAAGTCAATCCTACGTAGACTAAACTAAGAAGCATTTTTTAATCTTTTTTCTTTGGAAGTTTGTATAAGGAATTTCTATGTAATGAAAGATTAATGAGTGTTTAGGTTCGTTGCAGTTGATAAATAGTGACACCAGTTTTTATCACTTCTAAAACAAGCGACAAATTAGCAATGAGATCACTTTGCGTGATATCTTTGAAGGTTTCACACATCGGGAAGCGATGGAACATAGAGTAAGTATGTAATTAGGTTAACAAGACATCAAAGGAATGCCTTATATTTAATATTAATTTTAATTTGTCTTTTCCTTTTCTTTAATTCATTTATTCGCACTTTTCTTTTTCTTTCTTTGCAATTTAACCAAAAGGTCATTTTTCAAGCAGAGTATGGTGTCCATTTTCCCAAAATAGTTGTGCCCATACGTTTAAATAACAGTCTTGGCCCTTGTAAAACATCAAGCTACAATACGCGTAAGAACTAGGGAACTCTCTATTTTTCTGCGGCAATTGGGACTTCCCCTCAGGCACGAATGTCTTGGTTTTTACACTGATTATATATCAACCTATGGGTAACAGATTTTAAAAATAAAATGTGGATAGACTCCGTTTTGCAACAAAGTTCTTTTTGTATTAAAAGATCTTGTTCAATCATGAGCACTCAAAACAATAGCCAAAAAGGATGCTTCTAATTTGCTATGTTCTCACATAGGATTGCTTTATCAATGTTGAAGCTAAGGAAAGCTTTCAAGAAGTCGGATCCAGATATTGATTAAAAAAATAGAAATTACGCTAAATTGTGAAACTATGTCAGATTTTAATGTTTTAACCAATGAAATGGATGGATCATACAAAACACAATTAGCACCTACTTGCATTCCATTGCCGTTTGCTTCCCTAGTTCTAACTCGGACCATTACCCTTTCCAGCRATGATAAGCCCTGTGCTTTAAAAAACATAACTGTGCGGTAACAAAAGCAGTTTGACTACTAAWAAGATTCCATAGATGACGACAAGGAAAGTAGAAAAATAGACTATTGTAGAGTAAGCCTTACTGATGCCTGACGCACCATTTAACAATGCTATTCCCCTATATAATGTTATATAGATGAGAAGTCAAATAAGGCCTAAACAATTTCTGACAATTACACTTACACWGAACAGCAGGTCACTCGTTGTAAGGAAAGAATAATGAAACTGAACTTTTTAGAAAACATTTACTTCTATTCAATATTGAAGATCAACGATTTATTCAKACAATGCCTTCAAAAAGGCACAGAAAKACAAAAATTTTGATACGACGGATCTTTTTKGGGGGGARGAAGGGGGAATTTTTTCCGACCTCCTATAATAATTCAAAGTAGGTTTATGAAACAGCGCATTGCCTTAGAAGTGTCAAAAAACATTTTAGGAGATCATTTTAAATCATTTTAATTTACTTTATCGCTTGACTATTTGTCTTATTAATGATGTAACAAGAAAAATTAACTTATCACACATTTCATTTCATTGTTTTSTTTATTTACTATTAGGGCAAAATGCTTGCAAGCGTTGTGTTAATGTCCTTTCTTTTCCCACTTCTGTCGGCTACCGAGGAATTCTGGGATCCAGCTGATCCTAAGTGCGAAGAATACAGGAAAACGAATGGGGCATTTTGGGACGATCTCCTGCCCAGAGCATACCAATGGATAGATAACTACAACTATCAAAGGTAATAAAGACTCTCACTGTTAGTTATATGGCTACTCCCGAAGCTATTTATCAATAACCAGGCCGAATAAGTGACCACCGATAGAATATAAGTGGCCTCTTAAAGAGCAACTGATCTAGGATCAACTCTAGGATAATCCAACTAAAATAGTAACTTGCAGCAAAAAGAATCAGAAGTAGATGAATTCCCGATATTTATCATTACTTTGAATTTCCCGCCAGTTCGGAAAATTGCGCTCTCTTTTAAACCAGGGGCCTGGTGCGAATGCGACACGTCTACTAAGGAATCATCTCTCAAAATAAAGTGTTGTAAATACAATAGCTCTAACAATTTGCATTTTCTTCGAGTTGAGGCGAACCCTGTATTCCCAAAAGACTCTAATTAGAGATAAATTTTCAACGCAATTGTAATAACGACATTTTCWAATGGTTTGTTTCGTTTCTGGAAAGGCTTTTGCGCAAGAGAATCTGCTGTCAAATAAATCAGCGGTTATCCATCCGGTTAGAACTCGAGAATGGAGTATACAGCAAACTGAGCTCACTTACTGTTTTTATGAGTTGTTCTGAACTGTTTGAAGAGGTTGAAAATATGCAATGTTTCACCACACAAGTTAAACGATTTTTCATGTGAATTTCTAATCAGGATCAAGCATCAATGTTGTAGCCCCTTACTAGGAAAGCATTTGGAAATGTATGAGCAAATGTCTGCAAAAGACCAAAATTTTTCTGTTGAGCACCTTTAACCCTGGATACCCTTTGAGAATTGTCAAAAGTCTACACCTCTGTTAATATTTCTTTTCGTAACTTTCCCGGCAGCGAAATTAATTAAAAATCGCTTCAAACTAACGATGCAGCAGAGGTAGTTTCTTTTTGTGGTAAAACAACAAAATAAAAGCACAATTAATTATGTTTTAATAGTGATTAAAGTACTTTTTAACTATTTTATTGAGTTTGTTTACATTCTAATTGACCCTGACCTCGGTTTGATGCGCGCGGCGCGCAGATTTCTGGGAAGTATCCATTGAGATCCATTACTTCTAGAACCAGTTTTTACACTTGTTATGATGTAATCATCACAATGGATCATTGATCTGAAAAVCATACGATCTTTTAACGGACCGATAAAATATGGTGGCGGCCTGAATTGTTCCGTCTGACAAATTTGCATATAGCGATAGTGCATATTCAGCGTTTGCGTATARCAGTCTTCGTTCCCRTCAAACAGACTTTGCAAACTGAACATAATAGTCTTATTAATCGACCAGTCGTAAGTTGTCTACCTAGTAACTTGCGATAGYGCGCTCAACCTGGTCGATATAGATAAGAAAAGCCCTTCCACGGTTTTGCGTTGAAGGTACGCTTATTGATCTAATACGAGAGTTGTGTGATTCGCACTAATGTCTTAGTTTTACTTGAATAAATATTTTATTTAACAGGAGAAACCGACGGGGTCTGTTCTTCTAAATAACTGTTCTTGTACAATTTTTTTCACGCGAAAGGGATTGTGAGCTACATTGTTGACAACCTAACAAGCAAATGTGGCGCCCTTCCTTCTATAAAATAATGTTCTTCCTCGCAAACGTTTTTATGGTCAAACAAGGCTTGTATAACGTTTTTATGTTCAAAAACTACTACATTTTTTAGTTTGGAAATTTTTTCCTTGCAAAAATTTATAGAACGTATTCCCTGCCTGAAGAGTTCTTTTTTTCCTGAATTTCTCGTTGTCAGCCAGTTGCGACTTAAAGYTGGACGGGACATAAGACACGAGATATTTCTCCTAGGAACCCGTCGGCTCCTTCTAATGTAACCACATTACAAATTTCAGGATCCATGGTACCATATCTCATCTTTAACCTGGCTGTCTTATCTTTACTATATTAAACGTTTCCACGCACTTATCCTATTTTTTTCCTTCCGAAGCCGAACCGATGCATCATTCCAGTATGGACGACAAGACAGGGAATTCGTAGAAAAGGGTTGTCGGGAATATGAAACGTACAAAAAGACTGACTACAAGTGCTGGTCCCAAGAGTTYCTTTGTGCTGCTGCAGAAGTTCTCCAGTCAACCTTAGATGGAACTACACTGAAGATAAACTACAAGCACAAACCTTGGTATCATTGTTTCGAAAAAGTAGGTCCGCACCAAGCCAACGATCGYGACCAAGAAATCAGCTGGATTTCAAAGATGCGATGGAATGACCCTAGACTTCTCAAGTGGGCCAAAAACGATCTTGAAGAAGTTGGCAAGGAAATGTTCGAGAGAGTTTTTTACTACATCGAGAAGAACAATATTGATAGCCTTAAACTGGTATGCGATCATTATAAATCTAGTACAACTATGGAATTTATGCGGAGAGAGTGTGATAGCAGGAATCAGAGCGATAGTTCAATGCACTGTAAGGTAGCCATAGTGTTCGATAGGTTGGCAGAGTTGATCATAGATTCGAACGATATTCCTTGGAATATGGGGAGTTGCCGATCGGTTCCTAGAACTAGGGAAGAGCTATCTATGTTATATCTCCTCCAACCTAAAGTCTATGAAATCATGGACATTGGGTCGGAGGCCAGAAACAGAACTCTTTGTTACCGTCTAAGGACAATGTTCAAAAGCCTCTTTGATAATACCCTCAATGACAAAGGTGATCAAATTAGGGGTCATTTTGGCAAATTTGGCTCAATATATGATAGCATGAAAAGTGATTGTGAAGCTACCTATAAAAACGATTTCGAAGAGATGGTTTGCTATCTTAGTGAAACCTTCTCACGCATGAACTTACTGGTAACTGAACTAGGAAGGGATTATAGTAACTGGCAGTCGAGTCGGGCAAAAAGCATGAAAGCTGTTGTCTTAGTGTGGCTCTTATTAACACCTAAAGCTTATTTTTACATCGAACCCACAGATCTTGTACGCGCCCAGTCGGCAAAAGAGCTTCTCAAAATTATGTACAAAAAACTCCGTAACAACGAAATTACRAGTCTTCAAGAGATCTCCAATCTGATTCCTAATGAGGATCAAATGGGATTAAAAAGTAGCGACGAGTGCGCCCCAAATTTCGACAAAATCAGTCGGGACATGAAATGCGGTTTCAAGATTGTTTTGGAACACCTGGCTGTTTTTCTTGATCAGTATAAAAGCAAAGACCAAAAAACTAAGCGTTTAAATCTTGCGATACAACATAAAACACGCTTAGAGCAATTTCAGATTTCAAGTATCAAGAATGAGGTGGAGAATACTAAACTTGAGCTGAAGAGCTCCTTAGAAGGGTTCGTTTCAGAAWTAAAGAAGTTTTTTGAAGCCTCGMTAGGCAACCGCTTTGAAAGTTTAAGGAACTATYATGAATCGTTAGCAAGCTTTGACTTAGAGATTGCAAATGCRGATACCACTTATATCAACGATAAACTCAAATACTTTAAAGACACAGCGGTGCAACTGAGTACASAACTAGAATACGATAGCTCTAAGATGCAACAGGATCTCCTTATCATCAAGTCGATTGATGCGGCCTTTATGTGGATGAAAGCCATTGGGTCGGGAATCTCGGCTGTTATTGGGATTATTGGGGGCGATTTTAGTGGTTTTCAGGACACTGCTGATCGYATAGATGCTGCCGCAAAGACAACACTAGAGGCTGTCGAGGGGGGTGCAATTAARGAGCAAATCGAAATTACAATGGAAAAATTTCGGGCAATTACAGAAGGTTTCAAACAAAATGAAAAACAGCTAAAGGATACTAAAGMTCTTATTGATAAGCTCAATGATGGAGACACCAGTAGTGAAGAATTTAAGAAACTTCAAAAGGATTTTTTGAYCTGCTATAATGCTTACACTCCAAAGGTTAACGAAGCACAAATCGCTGAGCTTGATTCGGCCTGGAGTCAAGTTGTCGATAATTTAGAAGATCTTGCAGATTCAATGGAAACAAAGGAAGCTATCATAGGCGTAACAAAGTCTTTCGTAAAAAATCATTATTTCAAAATTAAGTTAGTTGTACCTAAACTTGTTGACACTTTGACCAAAAGGTTCGAATTCCAATTTGATCTCATGGATAGTTTAAAAGATGCTGTGCGCGCGCATACCGCTTTGCAAGGGTCTAAAGGTCTATCCCAAGGATTTGCGGATTTAGAACGGCAGTTAGCAGARTCTGAACTGGCTCAGATTGCACTCGACCAAATGGCTTTATCYACATATATCCTCTCMCAATTCCATCTGCTTTTACTTTTAGCACAATTCTGTAATTACGTGACTTATGTCAATGCAGGGGTTGAGTCTGTGAAATGCAYTACCGCCTTAAGGACAATGGAAACAGTCCATATTRACGATGCAATCAGCTACGAGCCTCCATCTTGTGATGAAGCTTCAGTTGACCTTAAAATTCCTACAGGTACTTCGGGCAGTCTCAATAGCATCAATCTCAAACAATTTAATTCAGGCGAGGCTGTTCCCTTTGAAATCCCAAACTTTGATTGGTTGAAGCTTCACGGAGATATGTCTGAGTCCGATAGAGACAAAGCTTTTTTCGTTAAGCAATTCGAAGTGTATGTCCTTACAAACGATAAATACCAGATTAAGACGAACCTGCGTGTCACGGTCACRCCTTCTGGTTCGGGCCCAGTTTATCCTATTTCGGGACAGACCAAATACGAACTTGTTCCAACCTCTCGCACTCAGTATGTGTTCGAATACAAGGAAAATTACAGAGGTAACTGTAGGTCAGAAGTAAACCCATACTCTGTTTGCAGCCCAGGACCCAAAGGAATTTGTTTTAAAAGTAGGGGCGAGGTGGAAAATAACCTGAATGCATATCCCTCCGTCTATAGTCCTTGGATTATAAAACTTGACGAGGATATCGGAAACGCTCCAAATCCTGCTCCAGGAACAAACGTATACCTCCAAGCTAAGCTTCTTCTCTGCAGAAAAACGAAAGATTCCAACGTAAGATCCGGTCAGGGAAGAAAACGCGTTTTGCATAAGTTTACAAAGGGAAGGCAAATGAACGATTCGAATGTCGTACCTTGCCCTCAAGGGAAATATTTCAATCAAGATACCTTGTTATTYGCAGCTTGTAGTGCTGACTCAACCCCKCAACGCAACAATTACTATTGTGAGYTGAACCAATCTGATGATGGAGCATCAGAATAAGGATATGTCATTCTCAATGCATGGTATTTAATGTTTTAAGAAATTTTTAGTATTTAAAGTTATGATCATTTATTTATTCTAAAATTCAAGCTTAGATCTTTAAAATCTATCGATTTTTTGGAGAGTAAGACTAATGCCAAAACTACGAGAACTGGATGACAACATCGAGTCAACAAGACYACGCACAAAAGAATTCTTGTAGACGACATTCCAGGGAGATATAAGAAAACGTTAAAATATATAATTCTTTGTTTCGTCTGAGCTACTTAACCAAAACATCTCAATAACTTTTCATGTACTCTTTCAGTGACCCCGACCAAATCAAAATATTTTTTTGCCATATTTCCTCTGGGTTTAATTTAAAAGAACTTCACGAACTTCCCATGGGAAGCCTTGATAATTTGGGTACGAGCGTACTGGACGGTGAGTTTGTTTTCGGCTTTCACAGGACGCCATCGGTCTTTCARATCACGAACTATGAATCCCATAATTTCATTATCCATCCTAATATTGGTAAAGCTCATGACAAAAGGCGGCAAAGGAATACTTTTCTATAAGTGTTTGAATAAGGCCACACTAATAGCTCAGCTCGATCTGCTTTTGAATAAACTTCCAGATAAAATTGAAAGATGTGATCAGAAGGAGATAAGTTTTAATTTCAAAGATCAAATCTTTGTACTTTGTTAGGTGAAGGGATCACTGCATAAGAAATGTCTTTCAGCTATCGGAGGGGATAGGATCSAAGATCAGGTTTTTGGCCCCCTTATCCATAGGGCACACAAAATTAATTCAGTGTGCTGACATTGCTTTTACAAAGMTTTTAATGGCTTTCTAGAGTAAGTACAGGAAAAGTAGGCAATGCGCAACTCAGACGCCCTAACGCCATCTAATAATCCTCCAGTGAAATTTACAAGTTGAAATCTACAAGCAATCTCGCCAGCAGATGGCAATAGTGTGCTCAATGCAAGGTCTCTACTYTAAAAGGCACGTGTTCATCCGAGAATCTTTGAAGGTGATTTRGTCATTTTTACAAACCCTACCTTGTTGAATGCTACTTTTTTGGGGGGTTCAAAATGCAATTTACGTATTTGAGGAATTACCKCAGAGGTTCTTTGATAGACGTAGCCTCAAATATATCTTAGAAAATATACTAAAGTACGCATGCGTGAAACGCTTACATATGATTATGGCTGCATGCTTTATGTAATCTTAAGAGAAAATATAGAGTTCCATATAGGTAAATAAAAGGAAACAAAAGAAAGAGTCAAATGTTCTACGCTCACATCGATTACCTTTAGGTAAAACAACTGATGATTGCTGTTGTAACGATATTTTGCGAAATCAATAAACTATTATATGGACCACCAAAAATCATGAGAATTGACGCATTTTCGGTGGAATTTAAATGCATTGAATATAGACCACGAAAATCATCAAAATTGATGCATTTTCGGTCAAAATGCATGGGATATACTCCATAGAAAATGTGAACATTAACACATTTTCGGTCAAAAAGCAGGGTGATATCGCCCACGAAAATCCTCAAAAACGACGCATTTTCGGTTGCAATGCAGATAGTAGCACTCTCTTATCCATAGATGGTTTTCTTTCCATGCGGGATAAATAATCATTCAAATGATTTATCGATCAAGATGAAAGGTCACGTTGCGCTTTATAAGACCAGAATCAATTAGATTTGAAATATCATATTATCCCTATGTCACGAAGTTCAAATAGTTTTATGAGTGACGTTCTGTGCTCTGGGAATTGAACGCAAACACTTTTGTCTAAAAACGAACTATCATCTGAACAATTATATTTATTCAACAGAAGCAGGTTGAGTAAAGAGTATTCGAGTCTTGTGAAACTCATTAAAAATTCATGAAGCAGTACTTCAATAAGGGCTGTCTAAAGACTTCTGAACCTTTTCCGTCACTACTTGATTGTCAATGCATTGTGAGAACAGTTTCTAGTGGAAAAAATCCGACATGTTCTTTCCTAAACATATAAACATATCCTACAATGCATTGCGTATATGGTACATGAGGTAAACGGACTAGAGGCCTATTTGGTCTGGTGATTGACCTTGTAAATCTGTTATAACACTAGTGTTGCATTGAGACAAACCAACACTAACAAAGGTGCCAATTTTAATATCGCATCATAGACCTTCACTTTGTTTTGAAGCAAGCTAACACAGATAGCAGCAAACTCCCCCAACAACTAAGTTTTGTGGTCCATTTTATGGTATACGACGACCCTAAGACGTCATAATAAGATGATCAACAACCACAACTGCTAATTAGATAATTGATCTCAATTCCAGCCGACGGCGTTTGATGTATACTTGTGCAAAAGCCGACAAATAAAAGCACACTCAAAGAGCTTTTCGGAATAAACAGTCATTTAAAATTGCCTTGTTATTCTATCCTTTATCATTTTTCGTCATATTTATCTAACACGTTGATTAGTGTTGGCGTTTCATAACTCGTTTACAACATTTGAGATATAAATTAACCACGTGGTAAAGGGACGCTACCAAAGCCGGCTTCAGGGGCGGTGGGGCTAAGAAGATTAATGAATATTGTTGTCAATAAATCCTTTTTATTCATCAAGCTTTCATTTTTCAGTAAATATAGTTATAATGAATTACATTTTAGGAAAATACAACAAGCTTTTATCATGAAAAAAATCTTTTCATACGTAGTTAAATATTAAACATTGGTAGCTAGAACTCAATCTGGTAGCTTTAACATCAAAATTTAGAGCAGAACTGTTAGATATGCATTCTTTAAAACGTCTGGAATTACGTTTTTTTACGCTCCGCGCAATAAACATGACTCACGACACGTCATAATAACGTAGAAAGAATTACACAGGTAACCCATTAAAGCAAGCATTTTATTTGATTATTCTTCTGTGTTGTAATTAAATTTTATTGTAATTTATATGTTTATACTTTTCCACAGCCCCTGCGACTAAAGAGTTCGAGAAAAGAGTTCAATCTAATTTTAATTAAAATTGCAAGCAGTTTAAAAGAAGCTTGCAGGATTTTTTTAAATCAATTGACTTTAAGGATTATAATTATTATTTTTTTTACTAAAAGAAAGTACATCGTAACAGTATTCAAAAGTATGACAAATTCGATTATTTTGAGCAGAAGTACAAATTGCGCATAATATATTTAACAATTATTCGCCGAAGGCGAAGTGATTATCAATGAATATTTACCGAGCGGCGATTCCGCGAGCGAGGTGAATAATTGTTTTAGTATAATTTCATAAGTGAATATTCATAAAAATAGAGAAAAAAGAACTACTGCATTTCGTAAAATGTTATGTGGCGGGGATTGAAGCCGGCGGTCGAGGGCCGCTCGGATCGACAGCAAAGTCGTCTTCTTGTAATAATTGCCATTTTTCTTCCTTATGGGCACGTAAAACTTTGANGTGAGCAACACATGACAGAACTAGAATGGATGTTGTACGGAAACGCGGTGAACTGTTGTTCTTCCAGCAGGCGCAAAGATACGAAATCATCATCATCTCCATGCCACCTATAAACATCCCTATGTCACCTGCAAATYTATAGTATTGGTAGTGGTCACGGGCACGGAAYGGTGCGGACGGGAAAGCCAGAGTCGTGAGCACAGAATTTGCCGCGAGAAAATAAGTAAAGACACTAMCGAAGAAACATCCCATAGCAGGAGAAATTTTGAAGATYAYTGAGAAGAYTGGCATGCTCTTGTTTTCATTGATGTGCAACGGTGTGTACTCTACAGATTGGGGTCTCTGATACTTTTTCAATGGTCYGTGGTTGAGAATTGCATGGAAGAGAATTGCAAATAACCCCAGCGGAAAACAAAAGATAATGGTCATCCTCGGAGAAAAGCAAAACCAAACAGTAGATCCTGCAAAGGRAAAAGCGYTGKTTAACAAGCAACCCTCGCTGAGCTGGAGTTCCACACACAACGAAATATTTCCTACCTGTGTAAAGGAGTCCCGCAAATATAGCCGAGAATGTTGCACCGCATGAAAATGCACTTATRCATTTTTCTGTTTCCYCGAAGCAAGCAGACAGYAATATCCCTAAAATATTTGCTAAAGTATCAGCTGCAAAATAAATGGCCACTCCTATAAGACGGRTYTTGGGATCTTCGSMAATRACAATWASAAGATAGGAAATGAGCCATAATAAGCCATACAAAACCAAAGCCCATGTAAATGATATCTTCCTAATTATAAAGGGCAAGCATACAGTACTKATTGTGGCAACACATCCAAARAGTAACATCACCACAGAAGACTGGATTARAGTGCCTGACATGATATCCTCAGTGGCCATATAGAGAAGCGATCTTGGAACAGAATACGCAAGACCATAGCAAAACATACACAAGGTTACTAATTCGCTCTTCATGTCTTTAACAGGAGAACTTKCACCTGCAAATCAAATACAACTTTTAAAAACATTTAAATGACATCCAMGAAAATGCTTCGTAACAACGATAAAGTATCACCCCTCGCAAGTTATCCGTAAGATGGCTGCAGATTATAAGAAAAATATGTGTTTAGAATCCGGAATACGATACTTGGTTCGAAATCCATCATTTTAATGCTTCATTTTTGGAATTCAGACCAATTTGGTAATCCATAATAACTCCATTGACTACAAACTGGAATTTGAGCGACTGGGATTCTGATCGAAGCAACATACAGGATCTGGGATCATGCCAAGTACAATTATTTTTAACACTGAAAGATTAGTTTCGTTGCTATATACATGGAAAAATTACTCAATTCTGATTGGCTGATAACAACTCAATTAATTCTTAATTCAGTGCAATTACATTTCTGCAGTGCAATTACAACAGATTGAAGAGTGCAAAAAGCTGTAATATCAGTGCAATTACAAACAAATTTGCGCTTTTGATTGGCTAAGAAACAAAGAAATGTTTTCAGCCAATAAGAATCAAGCTTTCTTTGTAACTGAAAACTTTTCTCAAGAATCCAAGATGTTGGACACTTCGCCAATAACAGACAAAAAAGTACTCAAAAACTATCAACAACTGCTTAAAAGAAATAACAAAAGCTTTCTCACTGAAGAATTGGACTAGGATTTTGCCTTTGTGAAGTTTCAAGCTTGCTAGTTGACATTTCAAGACGATTTTGCTTCGAAAATAGTCTTGCCTTCCTCACCCGTCCAGCTCGATGGAATTCAGTACAGTTTCAACGTGAAACCAGCTCAAATTCTGGCTTTTTTTCTACATTAGCCTGCAAAAAGTATTTTTCTGTTTAAGTTTATTTTTCTGTTTAAATTCAAATAAATTCAGTTTAAAATGGAGTAAATCATGTTTTTTTTATCAGTAAAAATGACAAAGTACAAGTTTTGAAACTGAAATTTGTTTYGCTTCAATTTTTTGAATTCTTTTGTACAAAAGAAAGCCTAATATGTTATAAACTGTTGTTTTTTTGCTAGCTTTGATAGTAAGACAAGTGTAATGATTGTTTGTCAAGAAGAAAATAAAAAGACTTAGTATGCATTGATATTTTTTTATGATATTTTGCTTACATGTCGTTTTTATCGTTGGCTCCTTGTCTAGCCTTGTCAGTTTTGGCTTCAATTTTT